GACCTCAGGTGACTCCAGATGGAACAAATATTCTATGTTCTATTCAGCATGTGCAAGGGGTAAATTGTACATTGTGTCACTCTTCACTGCATCAGTTTGGATAGGCTATCGCGTAAGCTATATGATAATAGCGTTAATGGCCCGCCCTTTCTCGGTGAATATGGTGTGATAAAGCCTTGTCAGTTGCTATAACCACCTCATAAAGCCACCTCGTTCGCTGCGCTCACTTGGTGGCTTTATTCGGTGGTTATAGCAATTGACAAGGCTTTATCACACCATATTCACCTCGGGGCGGGACATTAACCCTTAATTAAAGCGTTTTTGCATTAATTTGCATGCATGGATATCTATTCATATTGATATCAGGCCAAATCTGGAAGTCCTGCTGCAGTACCTTAGAAACCTGCTAGGGGACCCATCATCTAGTAATTTCTTTATTTTGCCAGCACCTACCAAAATGCCAAATATCATAAAGATTTCTCCATGGCATCTGTTGCACCCCACATCTGCTTGGAGCCGGACGTGAGTACTAGTAGCTATCCAGTGGGAGCCAATCGCTCAAACTGTGGCATAATCAAATTGATTGGTTGCAAAGTGCACTTGCCTATTAATTAAGTAGAGAGGGTCACGATGCCCTCATTTGTTTTTCGCACTGTCGTATTGAATCTAACTTGAGCTGCGTTACGTGAGCCAAAATTATAGACATGCACATGATCAAAATGAGTGGGGTTTAATAACAGTATTCTTGTTTTTGTAAACAGGATGACTTTGGATTTGTAAAGCCTAATTGGCATTTTTGTTGATGTTCTGAGTGTTTCTGCATGTGACAGATATAACATCAAAGGGGAGGAAAAACCTACAGGGAAGAAAGCCATTCATTATGTTTGAATGTTCAGGACTCAAAATACTCGGTGCATGTACATGTACACCTTGAGCGCAGGTAAAACTGGATCTGTATTTCTATGTCTACCTGCACATAACCTGCACTGGTCCATGTACTGGGTATGTGCAGGTTAGTGCAGGTAAAATTGGAGCTGTGCAGGTATTTATGATGTCTACCTGCACCTAACCTGCACTGGTCCATGCACTGGGTATGTGCAGGTAAAATTGGAGCAGTGCAGGTATTTCTGATGTCTACCTGCACCAGTCCATGTACTGGGCTTACACATAAATATGGGTGTATTTTCATTAGTCATATTGACTGTCATTACCTATGAAGTGTAAAAAAATAATGGCAGTGGTTCTGAACAGTGGTTTTAGTATGACGCATACTACTTAGCTATAGTGGTGCAGGCAAAATTTGTCAGGTGCGGATATGCAGAAAAAGTTTTAAAATACTTTTATTAATTCCTGGCCTGAAAGTTATGAAAGTTCACGAAGGGACATGTTTTTCCGAATGTATATGTAGGCAAAAGGGCAAGAAATTCCTTACTACATGAAGAAGTTTGAATTTGGTACATTGCTCCCTGGCATTTATGTACAGGGTTCCATCAGCAAATCGCTGTGATTGTCTGTGTACTGTGCAGTTGAAAGGACACCGGTGTCACCATGCTTTCTGCCACAATCGCTTACAATGACATGTACCCAAAGAATAAGTTTAAATTTGGTACATTGCTCCCTGGCAACTATGTACGTTCTGGGTTCAACCAGCAAATTGCTGTAATTTGTGCGCTGTGGTATAAAGGACACCGGTGTCACCATGCTTTCTGTCACAATCGTTTATAATGACATGTACCCAATTGACCCGACAGGTCGTAAAATGGCAACCTTGTCGCTGGCAATCAGTGTCCATCACAAGGCAAATAATCAGTAATACATGTCTGCATTGCCAAGGGATTATTTATGCTTAGGGAGCAATTCATCCATTTCATGGATGGTCTGTTCCTGCCTCAAAAAAAGTAGAAAGCATCACGATTTTCCATGAAAAATGTCGAAAACATCTTAGCCAGATTCATGAAGGGCTTTTCACATACTACAATGCTCACATATATCAGTTTTAAGTGGAGATAGAAAGTTAGATTAGTAGAACGTAGAACTTTTTAGCGTAGATTGTTTTATACCATTCCTCAATACATTCTGTACTCATTGTTGTTGTCAATGTCTGTTTCAAATTAGCCTTTGGGCATGAACTTGGAAGAAAGTTATTCGATATCATGGAAACTTCTGTATCTGTATCAGATGTCTGTATAGCCAGTATAAACGCCCTTTGGCATAACACACCAGATTTGTAGGCACGCGGCACGGCGACAGCTGGCTACATAAATTACAGTGAATGAACCAAACTTCTTGAGAGCAAGGAGCTCAAGGTTCTATCAAATAAAAGTTAACCCTATTGGTGAGATTACATGTCAACATGAAACAACAATTCAACATGAGAAACAAGTCAACACAATGTGCTACCATGCTGTAGTGCTTGTATAGCTGTGTGGCCCAAGAGCTACGGAAAAGATGATGGGCACTGCCCTATTTATTGATGAAGCTTTACCACATTTGTGCAAGGATTAACACAAGTGTCTATCACCTCCTCAAGATGTCAAACCTGAGACCAGACTGTAAGATTTGAACCAATCTACACCGGGAAGGACCCCTGCTCCTTTCAATAAGTGTGTTGGGTTCTTTAAGGTGCTCAAGGTTTGGCTACCGGTAACTCCTTTAACATGGGAAACAGTCTGGCACCCAGGCTAACTTGATTGTTACGAAGCGAGAAGTCATTTGGGAAGCATTTCATAATATTTCTGGACACATGTCCAGTCATATAACGGACTAGTCTCTTGGGTGCCCCCATCCTTCATAATGTCATTGTCAATTAGTTAACAGCAAGTAATTTTTATGGATGACAACAGGGCGCACATTAATTTTCACCTACAAATACAAGAAATTTTGTCGAAAATGTTGGAACGCGGATGGCAGATACTGTAAATATGAAGAGAGGAGACAAGACAAGGCTCTGATTTAATGTTATCATTTACTTTGGTGCAGTGATGTATTTCAGTCCCTTTATATGTGATGGTGGCTATGTATAATGTTTATGTGATGTTCCCACTGAATCAAAACCATTTGTACAATGATTGAAAACTTTTTTTCAAAGTTGTTTTAGTGAGAAATGGATGTTGTCATAATTGGCAGTAAACTTGGCACAATAGTCACCATTTCTTGTTTAATAAGGTTTATGATGTTAACATTTGAAAATGTAGGAATCTTGTTTTTTTGCCCTAACATTTTTTTTCGCCCTATGACATTAGATTTTGAGTCTGCGGAGGATGTCATCCATAAAATGTACTTGCTGTGGCCTTAGATAGATTCTCCCCTTCGTTAGGATTCTCCCAGCAAATGGCACCAGCTGTTCGGAATTGGCAGGGTCAGAAAGGAGCACCGAGTAATTATCGTTCCGCTAATTGTACTGTCTCGAAGTGTGCTCGACATTAGAATGAGCACCGGCAATTTATGCAATATAGGCTCTTGAACAGTCCTTGGAGAGTGGGGGGGCGGTAGTAGGAAAGGTTAATGTCCAAGCAGATACAAGGCTGGAAATATTGTAGAAGCAGAAACTTCTGTAGTACTTCAGTTGTTGGTTGTTTGTTTGGTGGTGACCAAGAACAAGAAACAGTCATACCTTCAAATATCAGAGTTATCAACCAAGAATTGAGATGTTCAAAAACTATGATCGTAGAGTGGAAATCGTTGCCAGCAAATACAGCTTTAAACAACTCCTGCAATTAAATATTAAGTGCATTTTACTTCTTGTGGCATGTGCCCCTTTTGTGCACCCAAAATTGGAGGATTGCACCTAAAGTTTTCATGGTGGGTGCACTGGTACACCTAGATGTTTGAATAGGGTTATGTATGTAAAGGTACTAATTGCACATTACTGAACAAGATATTCCTAACATTTAAGAGTCAGAAAAAATAGGAAAACCTTTGTTGTATTTCCTGTTTAAACTTTCGTAACAGTCAAAGCTTGCAGTGAAACTATGTTGGCAAGTTTTGCTGACATTCTGCATTTTACATAATTATTCTATGTCGTGCACCACAAAATTTTCCTGTGCCCCCAAATAAAAAATTTCACCCATTTACAATAGTGGATTTTGCACCTGGAATCTCATGTTTAAAGATGTGTAACTGGCTTGACTTGATGTCATTTTCTGAAAGCTTGGCTGGTTTTGAAGCTAACTTGTCAAGACGGGAGGGCCACAAGTGCCCATTTTCAGTGGCTCGTTATCACACTGTCACCACTATGTCTCAGATGTAAGCCCTTTTCAGAGTCATTACAGAAGGCTCTTACCAGGGCTGACATCAATTCATGTCAAAGTGGCGGGCTGCAGAAATAAAAGACATGACTTCAACAATTCTGTTATCATGGGAATCTAGTACATGAAAGTACTTGGAGAAGAGTATAATGGGATAAGATTATAGTAATTGGGCATTTAGGTTAACAAACCTCGTTAACGAATACCTCAAGAACACTTTATTGGAGCAAAATGTTTGAAAATGAGCTTGTTTTGAAAAAAAATCTATCTGGCTTTAACACATGTTGAGGTATATGGCCTACTTTTAAGTACATTGTATATGGCCTACTTTGATGTATCAACTACCTCACTCTCATTTACCTTCCAATGTAACGTCAAATTTCTTGGCCATCATTACTAGTATTTTAAATTTGTCCATATCTACATGTATGTAGGGACAGAAACCTGGCAGACAAAATTATGAGGAGACAGGCACAAAATTCGAACAAAAGCTTTAATACAGTTGAGACAATAGTTTTTCAACATATCGTATATCTCTGCTGACATTTTTATCACTTCATTTCTTGAAGTGTTCACACTTTCTTAGCTTCCACTTGTCCGTGGATAAGCTGAACACCGATTGAAAGGTTAAAATGCATTATTTACAACCATTCTGCATACAGAATTTTTACAGAGGCTATAATATCTGACCAGTGCAATGGCTAAGTGGGTAGATTGTTTGCTATGCATTGGGTAGGTCATGAATTTGATCCCCAGCCAAATCATAAACAATGTTTAGCACTCGGCAGTTAGGAAAGAGTATAATGGTAGTTAAACATACACCACTATTTGTGGACTAGATTAGCCCCCTACTGTGTGGCTCAAGGGCCAGAGATGGGCCCTGCCCTATACACCACCTGGTGCAGGAAGGACTTATAATATCTTACAAAACTAATGTTGTAATGTTGGCTAATGGACATAATAAAGCATACAAGTATCCAAGTTACAAGAGGGCTGTCCTAGCGCTGTTTCTGGTTGCTGTCAGCAGTATAGTTTGATGAGTTCATCGCTGACAGCTGACGGTGTGAGGATGCCCAGGTCTGTGAACAGCAGGGTGATGAGGTTGGGAGGGGTGTAGTCTACCGAGGGGTGCTCCTTCCCCAGGTCTGTGTTAGAGCTCAGGGTCGAGTATCTGTACTGTAGTGAGGGTAGGAACAAGAGGGTTAAAAATACAACCCAACCAAGGGATGTGCAGAACTACCATTAATTAGGCCTAGGAAAAAAATGGTTTCATGTTTCCCAACCGACCCTAGAAAAAACTGCAGACCCTAGCTAGCCTTTTTTTGTGTGCACATACATTTATCGAGCTGATTGACCTTTTCTAGCTCCAGTTTTGGTAGTGCTTGGATTGTATGTTTGGATGTGGTTTAGCATACTAGCAACTCAAAGAGCTATGGATGGATTGTCATATGAAATTTGGTAGGTCTGGACTTATCAAAGAAATAACTACATTTAGAACCCACTGACAGCTTTCCTTAGTAATGCAGCAGAACTTCCGGTTTTGATCTATGTTCTGGACATGCTAGGGTCATGACTTTGCTTGTCTATTAATTTGTCATGAACTATCAATAAAAATTAATAAACTTAAGATATTTTCATCAATGTTATCTCTGAGTACATTCAAAGCACCAAAACCTTTTGTAATGTAAGGCAGTTGTATGTTGCCTGATACTTACTTTAAAGTCATCAGGCAGGTCTGTTTGATTGAGTGGATAGAGTCGGACGAATTTGAAGCTCTCAGCCACCACGTACAGCGGCTTGTTGGCATTCTTTGCACACAGGGCCATCTGGTAAGTTCCAATCTGCAGGACAGGGCAACATGTACCGGTAACTGCATACACAGCAATAGGTGATAGACCTTTCAGCCACACAAAATTGTCCTGGCAGCTCATTGTCAAAATAGCTTTTACTTACACTATCATGAAAGTTCATCTGTGATGGTAGTTACATGTTTAAAGTTAAAACTTTTGGTCCAACACAAAAAATTCTTACTTACCTTTAAGTTTGCAAAATATGTTGCTGATGAACATGCTGGAAATGTCTGTAATGTCTGTACATTGGTGTCCTCTGGTGATGTTTGTTGGTACTGCACCAGCAAAAGCTGGATACATTCCTGGGTATGTTCTGGTCAGATATTGCCTTTTATGTGATACCTGGGCCAGGATAATGTTTGATACGGGTGTTCCGACCCGTGTGATAACTAGCGGTACCGTACAGCTCTATTTGTTTATCACACGGGCTTCAAAATGTTCCATCAGATAGAATAATTTGAATGGGTTTCACCTGATCCACCTGCACTGGTTGCTGATGTCTGCACATTGATGACCTCTAGTGATATTCATAGGTACTGCACCGGCAGAAGCTAGGTACATCCCTGGGTGAGTTCTGGCCAGAGATATATTCTAGCCTTTTATATACACTCCTGTCATATATTGTTGATGATCCCCCCACACTTTCAGATCAGCCCTCCCCACCACTCTCCACCCCCCTGCCCTTCTCCCCTACCCCCTGAACAGGCCCTGTTCCTGTCGTACCTTGTTGATGATCCCCCCGCTCTCCACCACCCCCTCAGCCCCCACCATGACCAGGTCCACCTTCTCCATGATGTAAGCCATGGCAGCATCCAGGATAACAGTACTGGGGATACCTGCCTCTACCAGCTTGTTGTGCATCTTCAAACTGTGGGAATATGTGTTAACATGTACCAATCAGTACATTCTCATCTTCTAGGTAAACATGTTGTATTTGACAAAATATTGATACTAAAACAGTTCAGCTATGCTGGGGAGCTTTCTAGACGTACTCTGTCTCTTCATCAACCCGATTCAGATCTCGTCTTGGAGTTCTCTTGTCACGTGACTTGATGGGATAATCACGTGACAAGAGACAGTCATATACAGATTTCAGATAGTGATGCCCCCTGTCCTTGTTTAAGGTACTGCGTTGTGGCAGATCTGGATTGCCTCCCATGTTGTTTTTGCCCTGTTTCTTTTTCCTTTTCTTCTTCTCCAAAAAAATAAGGTCAATGACCTGAATCAGACGTCTGTCACCATGGTAACTGGTGTTGGGTTACATCATGTTGCAATTTTATAGCAGTAGGGATTTAGACTCCTGTCACCATGTGTATGAATGCTTTTGAGTAGAACTGAACTGGTGTAACACTAACAGAAAAGACATCAGAAATACTTTTCGGACCGCACCTATACCAGTGACACCTGTGCTGTAGTGCAATGTGAACCAGTCAGAATTGCCCTGAGGAAGGTGACAAAAGAGACATCAGTGCTCCATGTATACTCACCCTGATCTGTCAGGTTGCGACTCTGTGACATAGACAGTGAACCTCTTGTTAGCCGAGGCAGCTTTCTTCAACACCTCCAACACAACTCTGGACTCTGAGTGGACTAGGATGGTCTGGAGAAAAAACACAAAGATGTCTACATAAACTTTTGTTTCTCACAACTTAGACCACAGACTATTAATGTACTGTGTAAAGCATGGGTAGATATTGGATGACACTACTATTTGCAAAACATCATAATTGCCTTCGTCAGAAGGCTATGAAATTGGTTTGGGTATGGTGGGGGAGACTGTGGCATAACTCTTGAAGGCATGGATTAATGTTAATGATTTTTCGCATGCAGGTTACCGTTGGGTAGACAATGGTCAAGTTCTAAAATGGGCCTAGTGGGGGGTCTCTACATTACTGCAGTGGACCTTTTGTGTTTCTGGTTTTCTTGTTATTAATGTAAAACCACATTTGTGTTACTAAGTAGTGGACCAGTGTAACAGGTTGAAATATACCGCAGGTTAGAGTAGACATGGGTGTATTCTGGGCAGGGGTACATTCTGGCTTGCTACATTCGGGAGCCCTTAAGATTATGTTCTTAAGACCTTTTACTTAGAATTTTCCCATGATTATCTGTTGTAAAACACTCACAGCTCCATCTGTGACAAAAGGGTGGCCCAGCTTGGCGATCTTCTGTCTGGAGTTGGAGATTTTCTTCAGGAAAAGCTCTCCTCTGTCAAGCAACACCTGTTTGTACTCTTGGAAATCCTAAAGGAAAAAAAAACTTCAGTGAATTAAAATTGTAATTTGCAACTTTTTCCAAACATAAATATGCATTTGTATTCGATGCTATTTTTCCTTACAATGGTTTAAAATGCCAAGTACAAAAATGTTTACGATCGTAATATTCAGTTATATACAACTCTTACCGTAAAAGAGTCTAAGTGTAGCTTTAAAGGTATCCAATGCAATTTCAGGGTGGCAAAACAAAAAAAGATATGGATGAGGAGATACGATGTTGATTTTTACTGTCATTTCTTAGCAAATTTTATCATCATTTCATACTTGAAGTGTGTGAATTGGAAAAAAAACAAGTTACATGAGGTGTCATCTTTATTTTTGGGGTACTTTAAGGCTAAGTATTTAGTCTTACTGGATGGTCTAGAGCAGTGAGAGTGATGAACCTGAGGAACAGTTCACAGCCTGAAGACACTGATGTGATGGACGTGTCACTCTTACTCAGAGTTTTGATGGCTTCCTTCAAGTTATCTCTCAGCTCTGCTAGTGTCCCAGCTAAAAGTAAAACAACACAAGTTACATATAATTGATAATTAACAAACCTCAGAAACAGTACATGTATTTGTAAATGTTTGTTTCTTTTGTCTCTAACTTCTAAGTCTACAACATGAACTTTACTATTTCTTTAGTAATAGTGAAAGTTCATCTGAGTTCAAGTAGAAATCATTATGAACAAGTCCTACATGCATGCCCAAAGAAAGTTATAGTAACTTAAAACAAGTATCTTGTCTCATTTAAACCTTCTTCCCAATGCCTAACCCTATAACTGATAAAGAATTGGTAACCAAGTACATTTGTAGCTACTTCAGTGTGCTAAATGTTAACACTGACTTAGGGCATAATAACTTATGAAATAACGTTAATAATATAAGAAATGAGGAAAGTTATTTCTGTTAACGGTCAAATATAACAGTTTGGGGCAGAAGTGGGCATGATTGATTGATATATGTATTTATGCTTGAATTTGCCCCCACAAAAATTTATGTTTGAAAAGTTTGAATTTTGCCGCCACAAAAATCGTCCACAGGTGCTAGAGAAGAGGAAAAGCCTGTATGGTAAGATCTGATCCGCAGAAAACAAACTAAGGGGGCGTGACCCCTTATTTGTCTGGTCACATGCCAGCAGTGAAAGTATTCCACCATTTTGTTGTCCTCGGGCCATATTGTCTTCAGCTTGACAAGACAAGGGGAGCACTTCAAAAGGCCTTTATTCACAGGATGGACCAAATACATACCATACATGTTCACCAAATTGTGCATAATATTGTGTTACAGTATTAACATAAATTTCTGTTAAGTCCTTTTTATTATTGTAGTGGAAATCTCTGATTAAATCGAAACCTTTCACAACTGCTGAACATTTGTACCTCATTAGAATTTCGTTTCAAGAATAGTAAGACATTTGAGACCATCCTATTAGTATCAGGTGATTGTCCTGCTTGGCAGACTGCCCTAGGTGAGGTCTGAAACATCGCGATGGCAGCTGTGAACAGAAGTTGAGCAAACCTCCCAAAAGCTAGAAAAAAGTAGAGATCATGACAGCAAATATCATGTATAGTTGACATGAAGTCAGGACTCTGCTTGTCTGTTATGTGGAGTCCTCTCCTGGCTGAATCTTACTCCACCAAGGGACACTGAGTGACTCCAAAATGGCCGACACTGCCGGCATGGCAGCACCAACGCCTGCGACGCCAAACGTTCCTTCCAAGGAAAAAAAGGACGGCGACAAAGACACCGATGGCTCCGCACAACAGTTTGACGGGATGGCTGAGTCCCTCAAGGGGTCTACCAAGGACTGGAGCAAGTTGAAGACAGCAGAAGGAATCATGGCAGCTATGTTCTCTGGAGTCCTGATCACTGTAGCCAGTATATACACCAGACTGGCAGGGGACGAAGGCATGCCCGCGATTCACTCTATCTTCATGAACGAGCTAATGGCGGCTATCGTGTTTCTACCCATGCCGTTTCTCGTAGGGGCGCCGATTACCGGGAACACGTGGACAACAGTTGTAATGTTATTCATACTGGGGCATAGGCAGGATTATTGCGTTCATTTGTTTCTTCATCTCGGTGCTATACATCCCGCCAGCGAACAGTTTCGTGATCCGACACGGAATCATCCCGCTGCTGACCGCGTCCATGGAGGTGCTGTTCTTACGGGTGGCGCCGTCCGTCGCCGAGTGGGTCGGGATCGGCTTGAGTATCGTCGGCGTGGTCCTCACCGCGAGCGGACGCTCGTGGATAAAGGAAGACGAGGAATTGTACCTTAACATCGTAGGTAACATGCTAGCCGTGATCTCGGCTTTCGGACTAGCCGGACTCATCATCATGACACGTTACCTTCTAAAAACCCTCCCGATATGGACTCTACTTTTCTACATCAAACTCATCGGTATCATAGTTGCCGTACCACTTCTCTTCCTGGATCCACCATTCACGACTGGAATGAACTCTGATCTAAGTTACTACCTAGTCACCCAGGGCTTTCTATACACTGTTGGTATAGGTATTATGTTTCATAGTTTGACGTTAGAGAATGCCTCTACTGTAGCACTGGTNATCATCATTTCATACTTAAAGTGTGTGAATTGGACAAAAAACAAGGTACATGAGGTGTTGTCCTTCTTTTTGGGGTACTTTAAGGCTAAGTATTTAGTCTTACCGGATGGTCTAGAGCAGTGAGAGTGATGAACCTGAGAAACAGTTCACAGCCTGAAGACACTGATGTGATGGACGTGTCACTCTTACTCAAGGTTTTGATGGCTTCCTTCAAGTTGTCTCTCAGCTCTGCTAGTGTCCCAGCTAAAAGTAAAACAACACAAGTTTACATATAATTGATAATTAACAAAACCTCCAGAAAACAGTACATGTATTTTGTAAAAATGTTTGTTTCTTTTGTCTCTAACTTCTAAGTCTACAACATGAACTTTACTATTTCTTTAGTAATAGTGAAAGTTCATCTGAGTTCAAGTAGAAATCATTATGAACAAGTCCTACATGCATGCCCAAAGAAAGTTATAGTAACTTAAAACAAGTATCTTGTCTCATTTTAACCTTCTTCCCACTGCCTAACCCTATAACTGATAAAGAATTGGTAACCAAGTACATTTGTAGCTACTTCAGTGTGCTAAAGGTTAACACTGACTTAGGGCATAATAACTTATGAAATAACGTTAATAATATAAGAAAAGTTATTTCTGTTAACGGTCAAATATAACAGTTTGGGGCAGAAGTGGGCATGATTGATTGATATTTGTATTTATGCTTGAATTTTGCCCCCACAAAAATTTATGTTTGAAAAGTTTGAATTTTGCCGCCACAAAAATTGCCCACAGGTGCTAGAGAAGAGGAAAAACCAGTGTGGTAAGATCTGGTCCGCAGTAAACAAACCAAGGGGGCGTGACCCCTTATTTGTCTGGTCACATGCCTGCAGTGAAAGTATTCCACCATTTTGTTGTCCTCGGGCCATATTGTCTTCAGCTTGACAAGACAAGGGGAGCACTTCAAAAGGCCTTTATTCACAGGATGGACCAAATACATACCATACATGTTCACCAAATTGTGCATAATATTGTGTTACAGTATTAACATAAATTTCTGTTAAGTCCTTTTTATTATTGTAGTGGAAATCTCTGATTAAATCGAAACCTTTCACAACTGCTAAACATTTGTACCTCATTAGAATTTCGTTTCAAGAATAGTAAGACATTTGAGACCATCCTATTAGTATCAGATGATTGTCCTGCTTGGCAGACTGCCCTAGGTGAGGTCTGAAACCTAACGATGGCATCTGTGAACAGAAGTTGAGCAAACCTCCCCAAAAACTACAGAAAGAGTAGAGATCTAGACAGCATATATCATGTATAGTTGACATGAACTCAGGACTCTGTTTGTCTGTTATGTGGAGTCCTCTCCTGGCTGAATCTGACTCGAACAAGGGACACTGAGTGACTCAAAATGGCCGACACCGCCGGCATGGAGGGATCAACGCCTGCGACGCCAAACGCTCCTTCCGAGGAAAAAACGGACGGCACCAAAGACGACGATGGCTCCGCACAACAGTTTGACGGGATGGCTGAGTCCCTTAAGGGGTCTACCAAGGACTGGAGCAAGTTGAAGACAGCAGAAGGCATCATGGCAGCTATGTTCTCTGGAGTGTTGATCACCGTGGCCAGTATATACACCAGACTGGCCGGGGACGAAGGCATGCCCGCGATCCACTCTATTTTCATGAACGAGCTAATGGCGGCTATCGTGTTTCTACCCATGCCGTTTCTCGTAGGGGCGCCGATTACCGGGAACACGTGGACAACGGTTGTAATGTTATTCATACTGGGCATAGGCAGGATTATTGCGTTCATTTGTTTCTTCATCTCGGTGCTATACATCCCGCCAGCGAACAGTTTCGTGATCCGACACGGAATCATCCCGCTGCTGACCGCGTCCATGGAGGTGCTGTTCTTACGGGTGGCGCCGTCCGTCGCCGAGTGGGTCGGGATCGGCTTGAGTATCGTCGGCGTGGTCCTCACCGCGAGCGGACGCTCGTGGATAAAGGAAGACGAGGAATTGTACCTTAACATCGTAGGTAACATGCTAGCCGTGATCTCGGCTTTCGGACTAGCCGGACTCATCATCATGACGCGTTACCTTCTTAAAACCCTCCCGATATGGACTCTACTTTTCTACATCAAACTCATCGGTATCATAGTTGCCGTCCCACTTCTCTTCCTGGATCCACCATTCACTACTGGAATGAACTCTGATCTAAGTTACTACCTAGTCACCCAGGGATTCCTATACACTGTTGGTATAGGAATTATGTTTCATAGTTTGACGTTAGAGAATGCCTCTACTGTAGCACTGGTGAAGAATATTAGCATCCTGGTGGCTTTTGCACTGGAACGTTACGTACTTGGTATCATCCCAACAGTCATGGAATTACTAGGAGCTGCCCTGGTTATTGGGAGTACTACTGTTGTGGCTATTGTATTGTGGTTCAATAAATGGAAGGAACAAAAAAACAGATAGGAACTACAGTAAGTGAAGCAAGAGTGTAACATGCTGTTCTGTGCTGCAGTGGTTGATCGTTGTGCTTGTTGACCACAGGGTCAGGGGTTCGAAACCCAGACTAGCCATAAGTGTTAAGAGCCCAGAGTGTATAATGCTAAAGGTGGCAGTTACAGTTATCTTTGGAGGAAATAACTATTCGTAAAAAGGGCTGTTCATTAATTCAATAGTGTTATGAAAAGCTTCTATTGTCATACACATAGCATATAACTATATAATCAATGGTGAAAACTATCAACAAAGCTTGGTGGATTATAAGGGTACACAGTACTTAAACTGATGTAAGAATGCTAAATATTTCTTTGTAATGCTATAGCTATAGCTAAATGTTTAATAATATAGGTGGTGTCTGTTTTCAGGGCAGTATTTAGAATAAAACCAGGTAATTATAACAATAAGGATGGTGGAAGCTGGTGCTGGAAATGATCGTAGTCCCTGATCCTTATTTTGTAAAGATATAAGGATGGGACACGTACGGTGAAGGTGAATTCCTTTCAGCCACATGTTTTTCAATGTACAAACTACGTATATACCATATAACATGTACATTATAAGGAATTCCAGGTTGCCACATTGCTACTATTTCTCACATACTAGCTGTTGTATCAACATGGCAAACTAAAGTGAATAAAATCCATACCATACAGAATTAGAAGTGTGTGTCTAGCTTTGTGTGATGATTTTGATGGAATTGCATTTCAAACTTTTAAACCTCAGAAAAGTGCATTCTATCTTTGATACTAGACATTTGCCACCCTGTCTTTTATAATTATCATATGGTGTGAAAACTAGCTTTTACAAAATTGCTATTCAGGTGTGACAAGCTATTCAGTATAGCATAGCCTTGACAATTATGCTGCATGCCTTAACATTTAGCTGGTTACATTCCAACAGGTTGTTCCAGTAGACCAAAAAAAGACAAAGAAATTGGAACATACAGAACTCAAATACACTTTTGAGTATTTAAATATGGGGGTCCTTAGCATGCTCCCCTAGCCTGCAGCTGGCAAATATTAGATTTCAAAAACACAATTTCCCGCATTTTGAGAGTCATATCACGGGGTTGACATGTACAGTTGGTCCTTCATCCTCCTTCGCAGGGCTAAAATCCTCCGGTTCCCTTCCGGTTTTAGCCCTGCTATTTACCGCTGACAGTTTGACTTCTGGTGACGTCACCGCCAAACTGCTGTCAGCCAATCAGAGAATTTGCGCACCGAGCTTTGCGCAAAAACCGCAAAGGTCGCTGGGAACCTATTAGCCAATCAGGTTACATGTTGGGACAGGCCAAGATGGCGGCTATTACAGATACTAGAAGTTTCGTGCGAGCCG